TATCAAGGTATTGTGATGTACAGACTAAGAGACCAACATTGGTACATTACTCTTAACTAAATGCCACTAAACTCCACATCTTATTTAGATTTCATTAGTTGTTGGTTTGTTTGTTTTTCTAATGTTCTTTTTCTGTTTTAGGATTTCTTCCAGGGTGCAATATACATTAAATCTTTATATCTTACTAGAGGCCAGGTACATGAAAATTCATGCACTGGAGGGGGGTCCCTCAGCCTGGCCTGCCCCCTCTCACAGTCCGGGAGCCCTCAGGGACGAAGGCGACCCATCGATCAGGGGAAGGTGATGCCCCAATCACACCTCTGCTGCTGCCACTGCTGCAGCGCAAGCCTCGGCCGGTCCTGGTTACCTAAGCCTTGGGCAGTCATGGGCGGCTGGGCAGCCAAAATCCAAGGCTTGCCTGCACCTTGGGCCAGCCCTGGGTGGCTGGGAAGCCAACATCCGAGGCTTGCCTGCACCTCTGGCTGGCCCTGGGCGGCTGGGCAGCCAACATCGAGGCTTGCCTGTGCCTTGGGCCGGCCCTGGGCAGCTGGGGGGCTGAGGGGACTGGGGGAGTGCCCGGCCTTGCCGCACGCCTGCTGCCCTGGTGGGGCTGAGGGGACTGGGAGCCACCATCTTGTGGCTGTGGGTGCCGCCATCTTTGAGGGCGGGACAGTCTATTAGCATATTCCCTCCTTATTGGCTGTGGGCGCTGCCATCTTTGTGATGACATGAGGGTCAATTAGCATATTCCCTCTTTATTAGATAGGATAGCCTCTTCTGATCTGTGACAGTTTCTCAGATAATCCTTGTGGTTTTCTGACCTTTATACTTTTGAAGAGTACTGGTTAGGTATTTTTTAGAATGTCCCTCAAATTGGGTTTGACACTTTTCTTTGGTTTGATTGGGGTTAGAGGATTAGGGTTTTGATGATGAAAACCACAGGGGTAAAAGGCCATTCTCATAGTATGTCAAATGGTATATGCTATCAAGACAACCTTTTTATCACATTTTATCAAAGGGTAAATGCTACCAACAAGACATTTCCCAGGATGTTACTTTGATCTGAGATTGTGTTTGCCAAGTTTCTCCACCCGACCCTCTGTCCCCTTTTCCATACTCTTTCTTACTAAAAGACTTACTAAGCACAGGCCACACTCAAAATTCAGGGCTAGGGAGGTATTAAGCTCCACTTCCTAGACTGGGACCATATCTACATATATTATTTATAATTCTTTAAGGGAATTTGTCTCCTATTTATTTGTTCCCATTTATTTATTTAGTCAATCATCCTATATAATAAAAGCCTAATATGCAAATTGATCAAAGGGCAGAACCACCGGTCGCTATGACAAACACTGACCACCAGGGGGCAGACGCTCAACGCGGGAGCTGCCCCCTGGTGGTCAGTGCACTCTGGAGTGCCGCTCAGCCAGAAGCCCTCATCCCCCGAGGGCTCCCAGACTGTGAGAGGGTGCAGGCCTGGCTAAGAGACCACCCCCCCCCAGTGCACAAATTTCATGCACTGGGCCTCTAGTTTATCTATATCATTATGGACCAATTTCACTGACATTTATACTTTGGTTTGTAACTCCACAGTACATTATATACTTTGTTGTTCAAATTTTTCCAGATTGGGACCAGGGGAGCTCTTTCAAGTTGGGGCCTGTATTCCTTTGACATTCCCCATTCTTTTATTTTTCCAGCACTTCTGTAGCTATGTTTTCAATATACAATTGCACCATTCAGGTATTTTATTATAAAGTTGGCAGAAAACAAAATGTTAATCCCTACACTGTTACATAGTACACAATATCCATGGGTCTAGACGTATTTTATTATTTGCAAAGTGGAGAGACTATCATGTTTAAGGCATTATATTAATTAAGATGTGTAATGAAAGATTGAAGTAGCATGCAAAACCAATAAATAAGCCTCACTTAAAACGATACTCACTTAAAAGTGCAGCTCTTTTTGGATGAGTAATATTAAATCTAAGCTTAAAACTGGCTAAAAATGCAAAAAGTATGGTCAGAAATTTTTAAAAATTGAATTCTTATCTTTCATTACTTTAAATGACAGATCTGCCACCCTAATTTTCATAGTACTGTCAAAGAAAAGCCCTCTGAAGCTTAATTTTGCTTTTCATTTCACAAATCAATTTTATCTTCAATGGCATGACCCATTTATTTGTTCTAAAATACACTGTTACCTTAGTAACTACCAAATTACATGCCTTATGTAGCAGTGTTGGATGAAAAGAATCTTATAAAAGAGTCAAAGAAAATAGATACCTGATTACTGCTCTTTGACTTTAATGTCCAGAAAGGCCTATCACAGACTATTAATTTTCACAGACCCTTAAACCATCTATGTTATCTTCAAACGGACCTACAAATACTAGAAAGGAATCCATGCTGATTTACAATACAGACCTTCATTTCCTGAACTACAAGTCCTCAGAATCCAGCCCCACCCTAACCCCCCAAAAAATTAGCAGCTTGTAATGCATTCCCAATGTTCATTTTCTTAACCAGCATGGTACTTTTCTGTGTCCTTGATCACGTGATATGAGGTTGCAAAGGGAATTTATTCCTGCAATAAATAGGTGTGAACCTGCATTTCACTTAGATTTTCTCCAATCTGTAACTTTGGATGCATTGACTTAATGGGGCAGAAGATACAGTGAAACCAGGATAGAGATGACCATATACTGGACTGAGATATCTGAATTCAAGTTCCAACCAGCAATGTTCAACACTGCATGATGTAGCGGGCTCCTGAGATTCTTTGGTAGCTTTCAAAATGGATGATTTAAATATAGTTTTTCCAAGATTTCTCTCGGTTCTAAAATAAACCTATTATGCTCTGATAAAAATTTTCCTCTGATGATTCCTCAAATGATTAATTCACCAAGGGCACTGATTTCCCTGGAGCAACATGAAATACAGTTGCATCCTCTCATGGAGGCATTCTTCCCCCAAATGCAGGTATCAGAGTTCTGATTATTATCCTTATGCAAAGAGAAATACATAAATTAGGAGAGAATAAAGTTTTTTGAGATTATTATTTTAATCAGTCTGATATTCAGCCTATTTTGTACAGGATAATAAAACTTTGCATTAATGCCACTATTTCTTAAGAAGGAGGGGTGGGAAGTATCCCTTCTTTCCATCAGGGGCCTGTTCTTTGCACCATTCATTGGAACCCTAGACCAGTCTTGAGCTATGCAGCAATGAAATAGGTAGAATTTTCTTCCACTTTCAATCATCCAGAGTTTTCAGCACAAGCTATAGGATATGGGAAAAATACTAGTATGTATACTAGTATGTATCTATAATAATAAAAGCATAATAGGCTAATTAGACTGGACATCCTTCCGAACATCCTTCCGGATGAAGCCGCAGTGGTGGGGGCCGAGGCAGCCACAGCAATGGTAGGGACCATGCCCTTTGCACGAATTTTGTGCATCAGGCCTCTCGTCTATATAATCCTTTTACACACCTGCTTAGAGTTGTGTTATGGATTACATTATGTGCCCCCAAAATTCATGTGTTGAAATCCATATCCCTTAATACCTCAAAATCATATTCCATAATACTTTAGAATGGGACCTTATTTGGAAATAGTCATTGTGGATGTAATTAGTTATAATGAGGTATTAATGGAGTAGGGTGGGCTCCTTATAAAATCAATAGAAATATGGACACAGACACAAGGAGATGGCCATGCGAAGACTGGGGTTATGCTCCCCAAGGCCAAGGAACTCTCAGAACCTAGGAAAGGGGACTAGATCAGCAACTTCCCTAGAGAGTTCAGAGGGACCATGGCCATGCCCATACTTTGATTTCAGACTTCTGGCCTTCAGAACTGTGAGACAATACATTTCTGTTGTAAGGAGCCCAGTGTGTGGTACTTTGTTATGGCAGCCCTAGGAAATTAATACAAGCTATAACGCAAGTATGTGGAATTGGGAGCAGCGGTGAGGATTACTTTTAATATCCACTTCAGCAAACCTGTTAGTACCATCCTGCCTTACAGATTTGTTTTGCCTATTCTGATGTTTGAGTAAGAACACATGGCAATAAGTATATTTTTCTATCTATTTGGGGCATCTGGTTTAACACATGGGACTCTAACACTTACTAGCTCTGGAATTAACCTCACTGATATTTGATTCCCTGACATTAGTAACATTTGATCTAGCATGGCATGGGCCTATTTGTGAGGATCCAATGAGATAACATAAGTGAAAGACAATACAGAGGCATGTGGAAGAGGATGTAGTGTACAGGTTAAGATCTGGGATCCAGAAGCCAGGTAAATGAGTTCAAATTCTACTCCTCCTTTTATTAGTTTTGTGACTAAACTATGGATTCAGTTCCATCATTTAAAAATGAGAGTTGTAGTGATATACGTATCTTAAAGTTGTCATGAATTTAAATAAGTTAATACATCAAGAGGTCACCAAGTGGATGAGTTTTGCCCAGTGAATCAGAAGAACCTTTGAACGAGGGGCTGTTTGTGGTATTCATTAGTGTTATCATTTCGTTGTGGGAAAATATTGTAGAGCCAAACTTTTTGTTGAGCATGATACTAACTGCTCTAATAAGTAGATAAAAAGCAAAGGGTTTAAGTAGATTTCCCTGGGACATTCAGAAATGGGAACTCATTTTTTAAAAAACACTTTTAAAAGTTTGTAATAAATTTTTTGTATATATTTGAATTGAGATACATTGTCGATCCAGCACTTCCCTTATTTAATAGTAAATAAAAAATAGACAGCCACTTTCTCACCTTGCTCCCAGGGTGAGTTTTATCAGTTAAATAAAAGACTGTCATTGGAAAGCACCACTTGCTTCATTTTAGTGTCTGTACTTAGAGGGGAGAAAGAAGGATTTTAGCAAAAACACCTTATTAGTTTACTCAGAGGAAATAGAAACAGCTGATATGTTTTAAAAATTAATTATATTATCACATTTATTCAATTTCATACAACTTACCCAGGAAGTATATATTTGGAAGGAAGATTGTCTCAGAGCTGTGGATAAGTTATAGTCTTCAGAACTGTGGTGTGTTTGGTGTGCAGCCCACATAATATTAACCTCTGCAAAACACATAATTTGAAACGAGCCATGAGAATAAGAACAAAGCAACTTCCATTTTCAGTTATGTATGCTGCTCTGTTGAGTGAGGAAGAAAATCTGGAACATCTCTGAAAAAGCTAGCCAATATAATTATAATTAAAATAAGCTGCCTCAAATCACTTTTGGAAGCAGGGAGGGTATAAATTACAAATAAGTAAAAAATTGAAACATAGCCAATAAACATGTATAGTGTATATGATATAATTAAATGCCTCTAGCAAACTGAAATGACTTCCAAAATTTACACTTTGCTAACATATTACAATATGACAGATCATAAAAACTAACTGGTAATGTTATAATAATATAGTCAATGAATAGTGATGATTTTTCAGTATGTGATAACATATTTCTAATTAAAGAAGAATACTCTGATGGGAGAAACTGCTGCATATATTTTTGAATAAAATATTACATAATATTATTTCCTGATGGCATTTTAAGAAATTTCAAAGTCTGTCTATTGAAATAAGAGGCAAAGCAAAATAATATTTGTTCCTCGGATTTAAGGTTTCATTTTTATTTACAGAAATACTGTATATTAGCTAGTAGTTACATAGTTTTTTTTTCATGCTTTACCAAAACTCTATGCCATTTCTAAAATTGTCCCTCATAATTGCTTTATGCTCATAATAAAAAAGGAAACATAAGTTGTAATTTTCATCAAGTATTATACAAATTAACCCCTTAATGCATTGAAATTCATATATACACAAAACAGATAGTTGCTTGATTTCTTTTTACAATAAACATGCCACTATACAATGACCTCCGAAGCAGATGACATAGATGAGAATAAGGCCACACTTTTTATTCTGTCCATATTTTTCACTGTCTACCAAAATTAGATTAAAATGCCCCATAATATTACATTCAATATTTTAAAATTATGTTCTTAGCTAAACTAACTTATATTTAGTCCTTTGCTACAAATACAGGAGGTAGAATTAACCATGTGATGTGATCATTGTATATCTGTCAGTATTGATTAGAAATGAAATCTTTGGGATCCAGAAGCCAGGTAAATGAGTTCAAATTCTACTCCTCCTTTTATTAGTTTTGTGACTAAACTATGGATTCAGTTCCATCATTTAAAAATGAGAGTTGTAGTGATATACGTATCTTAAAGTTGTCATGAATTTAAATAAGTTAATACATCAAGAGGTCACCAAGTGGATGAGTTTTGCCCACTGAATCAGAAGAACCTGAACAGTGAACGTGAGTGAAAATTTGGGGTTAATTTTCTTTGCAATTGCCATATACTAATAGTTGTAATTCATGGCATATGACAGAATAGTTTGTTAGAGGTTTTTATAAAAAGTATATCTATATCATATATAACTATATTATATATGGATATGTTACATATATGCTATATTACATATAGTACTAGTGTATATGTGTTATAAATTAATAATTACATATAGTATATATATACTATATGTGATATAGTATATCACATATAGTATATATTGCATGTGTTATAAATTAATAATTACATATATATTTGTATATACTACACATATATTATACATTATATATTAATTACATATTATATGTTAAACATATATTATATAAACACATATTATATATACATACATACACCGTGTTCCAAGAAATATATAACAGATGGCAGCTCAATTTTGAAAATGAAATGTATTTTAATAAACACTGCCTTTATAATTTTTCAAAGTGTGTGTATACATATTCTGGGGGGCACCCTATATATTTAATCTGGGTGGACTTCTTAGCCATTTGTCTAGTAAATGAAAGCTCTCTGGAGAACCTAAAAAGGAGTTACCTAACAAAATTTGCAAAAGAGTTTTGGTAAACAAATGATAACTCAGAGATATAAGAAGAACTTATTTCTGTGAGAATGAGAACATTGTGAACAGAATTATGAATCAATATCCCTATCAAAAGTCATTTCTATTAAAGTCATATATTTGCAAGTATATTTATAAACCATCTATGTACTAGTATATGTAACTTAGATCCTGATTGGTTGACATTTTTTTTATCATATATGATCCTGTATTTTTACCCAAGCAATTAAGAAAATTCTTCTTATACAAATAAGAACTATTTCACCATAATGACCCCTAACTTCCCAGGCATAATTCTTGAAATAACCTAGAACCTAAATCTCTGGTTTATTAACTAGGCTATCTAGCTACAGATAAGAGATACACAAAGAACCCTGTGGCACTTGATAACTTTAGATGTTATGTGGAAATTTATTAAGAGGTAATATATTTGATGAATGTCCTAAATCTTTTAATACTTCTTACAGATTGAGCCCCTGAAGCAATATAAACAGTATTTTCTTTTTAGAACACACCCATTATTTCAGAACCCATAACTTAAAAACTTCATCACAAATAAAATCACTGTCCATTTTTTTTGGAACTTTCAGGATTTGTTTTAAAAAAGTCATCATTATGCATCCATGGTATGAGTTCACAAGGGGACAAACTAACCAACTGAGGTTAAATTAGAGGGTGATAAGATATATTGAAACTACTTCCTTATAACCTCCACAGAAGCTAAATGGCTGAACAAAGAATCCACAAAGGTGGAGGTCAAAGACCTGTCTCTTTAGTTGTTTTAAAAGCATTTACTTCCTATCACAAACTGTGTGTAACACAAGCCTTCATTCAATGAAGTACAGCTGTATAAACAGGGTACAGTAACTGGATCTTATTGCCTTACCTCTGTCACTTTGCAGAATTGGGGGAAAACAAGAATATGGGATTTTTTTTCACAGACTATATTCCGCTTTCTTGAAGTAAATAAAAATTTTTATGAAATGTAACTTATTGTAAGTTATTATAATAGTTCTTTTATAAATAATATCAGAAAAAGCTGATAGTGCATTTGTAAATATGTTCATCTTTCCTAATTCTTGATTTGATGAACTGTCTGTTCTAATGAAAAAAAAAACAAAACACACAAATAGTAAACTGAAACATATTATTGCAATAAACTTTCTATAAAAGAAAATAAGTTGTAGTTAATAAAAATTTTCTTTTCCTACAAGCTAATTATTATTATACAAACATGGTATATTATTATGGCTATTCAATAATATAATTAGAAATAATTTTACTGCTTTCCATTGCCAAAATGTAGATTTGTAAAAATGTATTTTATTAATACATTAGCCAATCATTCAATTTGTTTGGCCAAAATTTAATGTATTATGTGTTTTCATGTGTGTTATATTCTTGACTTTTTTCTAGTTTTTAAAATTAAGCTTTAACTTAAATACAATGAAATCCTTCCCTTGTAGTATTCAGTTCTATGCATTTTTACCAAACAAGTACAGCTGTATAATTACTGTCAGAATCAAGATACAAAACAGATCAAGATAAGATTCTGGACTTTGAATTGACAATTGTAATGGGATAAAAGTCTGGGGACCTAGGAAGAGGTGAATATGTTTTGAATGTGGGAGAAATATGAATCACTCAGGTCCAGAGGGCTGCCTATGGGTGGCAGCCTCTAAGATTGTCCCCAATAATTCCTGTCTATTGGTATTCATCCTCTTGTTTAATCCCTCCTCTTGAGTGTGAGCTGGATTTAATGATTCACAGTCTAGTGAATATGATTTTGGCAAAGTCAATGGGATGACACTCTTGGTATTAAGTTATAAAAAGACAGTGTCTAGATGTCTTAGGTGCTTCCTCTTACATGCTCACAAACTCTGTCTGAGGAAAGTCAGCTGTCATCTGTGCTGCCTTTTGGAGAAGCACATAGGGCGGGGAACTAGGAGTGCCCCAAACTAACCAGTTAGCAAGAAACTAAACTCCTTAGTCCAAATCCCACAAGGAACTGAATGCTGCTAACAACTATGTAAGTGAATTTGGACATGGATCCTCCCCAGGTGAGCCTTCAGATAACACTGCAGTCAGCAGACAGCTTAACTGCTTACCTATAACCTCATAAAAGACCTAGAACCAGAAGTACTCAGCACTCACGTAAACTGTACCCAGATTTCTGACCCGCAGAAACTCTGAGAGAAGCCACTAGTATGTTACCATGCAGTGGGTAACTAATACAGTGGTCAATTCCCCTCAACCTTATTCTCAGTACTAATGTCACTGATTTAGTTTCATTCCCAGCCATTATAGCAATGCAAATTAAAGGCTATAAGTCTTTTTTGAACTGCCTATTGAAAATCTGTACCCACACTTTAATTGGGTTATTTTTTACTACAGAGTTTTGAGAAGTCTTTATATATTCTGCATACAAGTCCTTTACGAGGTGTGTGATTTACAAGCATTTTCTCCTAGTTTGCAGTTTGACTTTTCATATTTTAACACTATCTTATAAAGAACAAAAGTTTTAATTTTGATGTAAATCTAGCTTATATTCTTGAGAGTTTTGTGAAAAAATATTTTTAGTGTATATAACAAAGAACAGGGACAATTTTGTAGAAATTTTTCAGAATGATGAGAAATTTGTAAGGGTCTAGAACAGGGGTGGGCAAACTTTTTGACTCGAGGGCCACAATGGGTTCTTAAATTGGACTGGAGGGCCAGAACAAAAGTTTTAGTTTTGATGTAAATCTAGCTTATATTCTTGAGAGTTTTGTGAAAAAAATATTTTTAGTATATATAACAAAGAACAGGGACAATTTTGTAGAAATTTTTCAGAATGATGAGAAATCTGTAAGGGTCTAGAAACAAAGAGAGTCTATAGATATTATACATCTAAAGTATATCTACATTAAGTCTCTCCTCTCATATCTTGTCAGCTATAGAATGGAGAGAAATAACTCTTTAAATTAATCCGAGACATAAACACAGGTCTACAAGGAACTTTTAAAGCTATACGATAGCTATTTAATTTTCAATAGTGGATAGGCCAGGAGGTTTTGAGGCATTCGGAATTTGGAAATTCCTCAAGTTACAAAGGAAAAAATGTTACAGGCATATTTGCAAAATGTTAGTGATGC